ATAGTTTTAAGCGATGCCTATGCGTATACCCGACCTGTAAACAAATGAAGCTAGGACTTCCGGGTGGCATGCTCGTTTATCAATCTGACGCTCACCGTTACAGTACGCAGGGGCGGAAATAGTGAATAACCGTATAACTCCGCTCGCGTGGAAATCGTTTTGCAATTAAACAAACAGCCCTTTCCGTCTACCAAATAAGCTCGTACTAAAATCTACATTTAATAATAGTTCCTTTTTTATCGTTATTTTATTTGTACCGTTTGTTAATAGACTCGCTTCTGTATTTGTAGCAACCACAGGTTCTACAAAAGATTTACTCACAGGATAATTACAAATACTTTTCTCCATTTTCGGATTTTCATTTGGAAATACTTTTGAAACATTGTACCGTCCCCTTCCACTGTAAAATAATCCACTGTTTTAAATGTTGACCTATCACATAAATGTCAACAAAATACATTGAAGCATGTTAAAATCATGTGACATAACTGTAAATTGTAATGGCGGTCGAATACATTGTCAAGTCAGATTTCAAGTAGAAACGCTAATCTGAGCATAATTATGCATTGTGATAGTTGTACGATCTCCTCTTCCGGTCTAAACAGGATGTGGGTGGAACCGGTATGTTCTCGGACGCCATCAAAAAATTCCCCCCAGTTTGAAAATGTCAGAGTTTTTTTTTTAAACTACATATTTATTATCCGTTTTATGTGAGGTTCAATGCTTATAATATTACTTAAACCACAGTTTCTGACGCACGCCAAAAACGTCTTTTTCAAAGTGTGAAATGTTTGTCGTTCAAATCTACCTCATGGGAGGAATTATATTTTCTGTGCTCACCCTTGACCAAGAGAAAACCGTTGGTAAGTACACAGTACCTGCGCAGGTAGTTAGACATACTGCGGATTTACACCACAACTTTGTGGGGACTAGAAATACTTTTGAGCATTCGGTTCAGTATTTACAGGCTAGAAATACTTTTGAACATTCGGTTCAGTATTTACAGGCTAGAAATACTTTTGAACATTCGGTTCAGTATTTACAGGCGCCTGAGGGAAAATCGGGGACAATTAGTGTTGACATTGTACGTGTTGGTCTTTTTGGGATTATTTAATAATTTGTAAATTGATAAATACCAGATATCAGATTCTTAGGAGCGAAGGTGTATCCCTTTGATAGCATGTGGACAGAAAGTGTGAAAAATCAATGTAAAGTGGACGCTGTGAGGGGTTACACACAGGAAAAGTTAACTAGTAAATGGTAACTTTTAATGTTTAAACCTAACTTAGCTTGGGCATGAACGAAACTGTTCTATATAATGGGATACAATTAGATTCATAATGTACTCTTACATATTGCATATTAAGAAAGCCAGAGAGGGAGACGTGTTCAAATGCCATTTAGCAAAATTAAGAAAAATTATATGAACCAAAAGCATGTATATTACAAAAACAGTGATATATTTAAACCATTTACTCCTGTTCATTTAGATAATTATTTACAACAAATGAAAACCAAAACCATTTTGGCAGAAAATTGTAATATTATGTAAGACTAATAATACATTTCTTAAAACATATATATATGTATATACATTATAATCAAATAATACATGTTCTGGTCTAATTTTACTGTACTTACTGTATCAATGTTGCATGGCTTTTCAGGTTGCTTTAATAGCAGCTTTTAGCTTGTCTGATGACTTTCATCTTCCTCCTAGGTAACGTAAGTTTGCCCAATCATGCACTGCAATTCCCTGGTTTTTAAAAACTTTGTACTTTTAGGGGTGTGAGCATGCACCAAGTACTGTTGAGAAACAAAAATCAGCATCTTTATAAAGCTTTAGATGAAATGGCCCTAACGCTGAAGGATCATTTTGTTTGCAAAAACTTTAACATTCATGTTATTTGTGCTTGGATACAGCACACTGTGAATAATCAGACTCTTTAGCAATAACTTTACCATCCTTCCTAAGGCTGCCAGTCACAGGTGGCTGGATGTCTTTCACAAACTTGTTAAGAGATTGTCATAATAGCACTCTTCCATAGTTGTGTGCACATTTTTAAAAATATAAATTTGGTTTTTAATTTTACTTCATTGAAATTAACAGAAATAGTTGAAATATATTGTTCTATGTGCAATAAATCTGTAAAATATTTTTTTAAATTGTATTGCTTAGATAAAATAATTTTTCAATCATGTAATTTTTGAGGTACTAGACAAGCTAGACAAGTTCAAATTACAATTAGAACTGATGAAATCTTCTCTGCTTAATTTCCAGGGGGCCAGAGGCTGGCCTGGGCAGCTGCTTGTGTCTGATGCCACTGATGAGCAGAGAGTAAATCTACATAATCGCAGGTGAATCGTGAATACTCAGACACCAAATGTTTGGCGTGTGGCTAAACAAACCTGCAGCTTGATGTTGCACTTTCAGAACTGCAAAATCCAAATCGTCTGCCAGATCTGGAGAAATTTTTTCATTGCTTGAAGACTCACACAACTTGCCGCTGGATAATGCAGCCATATGACTGTTGTCCCATCAGTCTTTTTCTACCTACTGAAAACTTTTGGGGCATGCAAAGAGCCACACTGCAGTCTTTTTCTCATTTCTAAATTGTGTTCTCTTATGTTGGAGAATTTCTAGTCATCATTGTGCAACAAAGCACAAAATCTGATCGCTATTGCTCAGCATCAAACTTATCAAATGTTGGAGATGTATCGCAAGGCGTCTGAATACACTGTGGAATATGAAGTCGGTGAGGATGATGAGACTGTCACCCAAAGTGACTCTGATGAGAAGACATCTGATTCTTGTGAAACCTCTGAAAACTCTGATTCCGAGGAAACTGCTCTACCTCCCCCCATCAAAAATGGAGAAACCTGCAGCAAGTGTGGTCGGGGACCTTTCAGGTCGGTGAAGCGCCATTTGCTTTACTGCCGTGGGGTGAAGGACAAGTTCCAGTGTGTTTTGTGCAAGCACTACTTTTTTACTGAGGATGCTCTACAGGAACATCACATGCCTCTGTATTTGTGTCACAGCTGTGGTCAGGTTCTCCCCACTAAGAACTCATTCAGCCGCCACCCGTGTCCCAGAGGAGTCAAATCCACGTTGGTACTCTTCTGCTCCGAGTCGATGCCGAAAGCATGCAAAATATGCAAGTCCTTTTTCTCATCTGATAAAGCTTTGTCAATCCATCTGACCAACGTTCACTCATCTGAAATCAGCACCAAACAGTACATCGTTGCTGATTCATCTTTGCTGGCAGGAGCCACAAGCGTCCAAACCCAGGCTGCTAAGAGGAATCTATGTGTTGGTCAGGCTCATGTAGATCCCGCCACCCCAACCCCAGACACTCAGGGCTCTGAGGCAGTAGCTTCTTCTACACTCTCCATTCTAGCCCTGTTTGAGAACGAGAGCCAAGAGTGGGCTCTGATGAAGCGGATGAACACAGGATGGCGCTCAAAAACGCCTTGCCGCTGCAGGCAGTGTGGCGCCGTCTTCCGGCAACCTTCCTTCGCCATCAGCCACCGCTACCTCCATCGAGGCCAGCGCTCCTACCTCTGCCAGTGTGGCCGCGCATTCAGGCACCAGCTGCACCTCCTGCGACACTGCGTTCAGCACGCTGAGGCCTTGAGCTACATCTGCGTCGGCTGCGGTGACACTTTCTCTGGAGCAAAACTTCTAACGCGCCACATAAACGGGAAATCATGGAGAGGAAATCAACGTGGACGGACAGTGAAGGAAAGTGAGAATAAAAAGTGCAGGATGCCCTTGATGTGTGACTGTGGACTGGTGTTTTTAAGGCCTTCGGCCTACATATGGCACCAACTTAAAAACAGAACTAAAAGGAAAAACCTTTGAAGAAGTGCTGTGTCAGTGCATGTTTTGGTATAATTGGAAACCAGTGATGAAAAACCAAAAACCTATAACATTTTTTGATTTTCAAATGAAGATGCAAAATCTTGAATACAAATAACAGTTGTCTTTTAGATTTTCCATTGAAAATACTGAATACGTTTTTGTTCATTTCCTTCTCCAAATTTAGAATATAAAATCTAAAGGCCACAGAACTTAAATATGAGCCTGATTTCTCTACTGTTCTCACACTTTCAAACACTGTTCCACGTAGGTTTGGATTTTGTTTCCTGTTCATAATAAAAACTCTTTAAACTCCACATTTTCTGTTTCTTCTGTTGTCTTTGTCTAATATTTACACTTGTTTAATGGATTTATGCATGAGGAAAAATGCAGCATGGTTTTTATTTACTTTTCTTCACATCCAAATAGTTCAAAGTACTGAGTTAAATCAAGTTCCCCAGTAAAACACTTAATCATTTATTTTTGTTTTAATTTTTTGTATTTAAGTATTTCAGTAACACATCCGGTTTATCCTTTAATAAGAATTAATACTGAAGAAAAGCAGGTTGATAATTGTTTTGGTTTTGTATAAATACAAATTAGTTTTTTCAGGTAGCTACCATATTGGATAACTTGTGAAGTGTATTAGCAAATCATAATGATCTCTAATCTAATATTTAGTACTATGACTTTAAAAAAAAGTACAGTCTAGAAAATCTTTATTTTACGTAGCATAAATTAGTCCAGACTTCATACATCTGTTTTGTAGGTTTTGAAAGAGAAATGATTCAACTTTCTCCAAATGACAAAGAAGTGAAATAACAATGTACTGTTGGATTATAAGGCAACTTTTGTGCTTTGTTGTTTCAAAATTGTTAGAAAAATAATAAGCCTCCCAAATCAAGTTTTTTTTTTTTTTGTTTTGGTTTTTTTTTTTAGGAAAAAGTTTTTAGGAAAAACATTTGTGAAGGAACAAGCTGACCTGTAGTCATTTTGAAGTTCAACTGGAATAAACAGGTTGCTTACTTAACACTTGACCACTAGATGGAGCTATCGAGTTACTCAGGCAGTTCTAAGCCAGGCTTCTCATCAGATAAAAGTATTACATGTGGCTACTCATTTTTTATGTTCCCACTGATTTATGTCAAAAATAAATTCTCTTAAGTCTTGGTGATTAATCTTGCATTTTGTGTTCTGGAATCCATATTTTAGAACAATGGCTCAGGAGTAAAAATAATAAGACCTTAGCACTTGTTAGAAATGATGTCAAAATTTAAGTGTTTGCAAACAGAAAGCACTGAAATAATCATTAAACAACAATAAAGAAAAGCAATTTGAGGTTTTCCTAAAACCTAGAGAGAATTATATAGAAATCACCTCAAAAAAAAAAAAAACAGAACTAAAATCATCTCAAATTCCACAGGAATAATGTGGTAATAATTATTCATAAAAAAGTCAGTTTAGACAAACTTTGATAACATAATGTAATCTACAGTTCTTTTAGATCAGTTCTTTGTCTCACTGCACAGCAGACTTCCCAAAAGCCTTTGACAGTTCCACTTTCTGAAAATGTAAAGTCATCTGTAACTTCACAGAATGAGTCACTGAGTGGCATGTGCAACGCTGAGCCAGTGGATGAGATGTTTACTGAAACCGTTCTCCAGCAGCTCTGGACAGCCAGGACGCTGCAGACGGAAATGCAGCAGACACCGACATGTAGGGCAAAGAAAGTGCTTGCAGCCATGTCACCTGCAAAAGATGGAAATGCAGTGAAAAAAAACTTTCTTCTTTCTATCAACGCTGGAACATTTTACTTTAACTCCGCTACCACATCCTGCCATCTGTATTATCAGCAGATCTGTGCAGCAGGCTGCTGCCGTCAGTGCTGTTTACCTGATCTCAGGGTTTCTGTGACGTAGGACCTCAAATAGCAGCTCTGAAGTCTGCTGGAAGCAGCGAGTCAACTCGTCCAGCTTCTGCTCCATGAAGAGAATCCTCTGCTCCAGCTCTCGGTAGGAGTTGTTCCAGTTGGCGCTGAGGTCACACATGATCATCTGCATCTGATGGAGACCAGTGTACAAAGCAAACACACATTTTTATTGTTGTTTTTTTTTTTTAATAAATGAAACAAAAAGAACAATACTGTAACATAAAATGTCAGTGCTTCACTCTCTCCACACTTTGTTTATCCAAAATGGAGTAAATTTAACCCCAGGTAAAGAGAACGTGATTTTTATTTGCAATTAGATGTTTCTAAAACTTTATTTAATTGCTTCTACAGTATTTTGAAGAACATCCACCCGTTTATTGATGAATGAGTCATGTAAGCAATGATCGAACTACTACAAACTCAGTGGGAAGACTAACAATTTGAGAGTTGCAAATAGACCAGTGACAACTGGCCACTGTATTCAAGCATGTTCATAGAAATCTGAGTGGGCGGAAAATATGTTGCACAAGAAACTACGACAACCTTTATGGAGATGCTAACTTTTTCTCCAACACAGTCTGGTTTCACGTTTTAATGACCAAAAATCAATCCACCTGACGGTCTTTGTAGTGTTCAGACAAAAGCCACTTCTTCGCAAACCGCACATGGCTGTCCAGCTGCTTTTTCAAGCAGACATGCGAAGGATTATCAGACCACAAGAAATAACTTTCTGGTCTGATAAGACAAAAATGTAACTCTTTGGCATGAACACCAGACTTTAATTATTACATTTTTTTTTTCAAAATCTTTATGCCTCTAAAACTGAAGGATCATATGCAAGAAGACAAGAGAATGTAAATGCTGCAAAAGTGTCATGCAGATGAATGTGATTTCTGAGCTTAGAATTTTAAATATATTTGCAAAAATGTCACGTTGACCTAATGAAGTATGTGGATTTTCAATGAGTGCAGGGGAGTAGGATGGATTTAATTAATTTTGGAAGAGAGTTGTAACATGAAATGTGGAAACAGTAATGCATCCCCATCTCATTAAATTAGAATTTTAAAAAAGTTGATTTATTTCAGCCTTAAAAGTGAACCTCACATCCTGTCGATTGCACAGAATAAGACATTTTCTGTATTTGCTTCTGTTCATTTGGCTTAAAGCTAGATTAAAAACCCAAGTTAAATTTCTTAGAAATGTTGACATTACAGTCTCTCTTGGCAATATGTCCAGCAGACGGTAAGCTATGAAAGATCATCGCTGAAGGAGCTTGCTATTTGCAGAGAGCTTTTATCTTAGCATGTCAATAAATAGTTCAGTGGAAGGAAGAAGTTTAGGACAAAAAGGTGCAAAAGCAGCAGGGATTACTGTAGCCTTAAAATAATTCCAAAGCAAAGTCCATTTAAGAGTTTGGGAGAAACAAAGAAGCGTTGCAATGCGGCTGGAGTGGTGACAGACCGCCACCACACAGACGTCTCCAAGACATGGACCCGAGTGCTTCATGGTTCCCCCTGCTGACAAGTTTTATGGAGATGCTAATTTTGTTTTCCAGCCAGACTTGGCACATGCCCACTCTGCCAAAAGCACCGATAGCTGGTTTAATTGCTATGGTATCACAGTGCTTGACTGAAAAGCACACAGATCATGGAGAAGAAACATCAGATTCAACAATGCTGATGAGCTGAGCTGACCTGGACTTCCTTAACACCTCAGCTGAGCTACATCCTGATCTCCTTCATGCCAAGATGCACCGATGCAGTGATTCATACAAAATACTGGGTCGACTATATACCACAAGGTGCATTCATGCTCTTCAGTAAGCTGATATGACTGTATTAAACTCTCCTTTCTTTCATTGATCTTCCACAATATCCATTTCAGAAGCAGAAGTTCAAGCCCACAACATCTAAAACATGCTTGCAATAGACAACTGTGTGCAATGGGTCTGTATAATGTAGGACTTTTAATGTCTTTTAACTGAATTACTGAAACACCCTTTCAGTTAAATTTTAATTGAATGAGATCCATTTACTTATTTTTGCAGTCAGGTTGTAATGTTTTCTTTGTGTGTCTTGCTGCTGAGGTAGTTTTAGTATTTTCCTCTGGTTTTGTACTTAGAGTGAATGATGTTAAGCAGATTTCAGTGAGTAAAGGCTACAGTGAACTGATTTCACTGAATTTCTTCCATAGAGCTAAACAGCCAGCTGCAGACTGAATTACGAGTTTCCATACTTGTGGGCTGTTTAACTCTCAGCTTATTTTCCATGTAACTCAATCAAATGCACTGTATAAAACTGCACATTAATGGTTCTCTGTTTTATGTAATTTTCTCAAAAAGCATCTGAACCCTGATTAGAAATAAAGAAAACCGGATACATGCGTTGTTTCTTATATCTTTGATGTAAAACAGTTACTGAATGTTCCAGCTGGCGTTTACCTTTGGGAGGTCGACCATCTCACTGACATAATCTCTCAGTTTTCTTTGTTTGAGGCGCAAATGTCGAAATCTGTAGAGAAATAATAATAATAAAAACCATGTTTGTTAGACATCAGACATGTAGAGGTATTTCAAACATAAGCACCTTAGTATTTTGTGATTTAATGTGTTGCACATAGAGACAGAAGTGGATCAAATTAGTCATTTCTATGGCACAAAAAAAATTCTTTTGGATTCAAAGTCCTTATCTAAAGCCAATTATATCATGTTTTGGGTCTAAAAGCTCCAGTTAGCTGTATCTTCAGATTGCTCATCTGAAGATGCAGCATCCCAATTTTGGACAAATATTCCAGTCCTGGCACAAGACGGTCCGGTTTGGGAAAAGAACATGCTGACGAGTATTCCACTAATCAGCGCGGAGAGGGTCATGCTGAGTTTGTTAAACAGCTGTAAAACGTTGCCAGGGGCGGAAAACGGATAAATTTAGCTCCACAGATGGACGAAAGCAGAAGTACAAAGAAAACAGATTTATGGAAACCAATATTGCGATCGGTGCTTGGCGGCCGAGAACATAATGAGGTGATGGAGTCTCATTACAGTAGACAGTAATTCCCGAGGTGTGGAGGTTCCTCCCGCTCTCATACTTTCCACAGGGTGTTTATTTGTAATGGTTCAGCCCAGTTTGAAACAGGAAGCACAGGCCCTTCCATGCAAGCTAACGCAGAGCGCCCTCACACATGTATTTCTGTTGACAGAATAATGGAGCTCTTAATCACACTTCTGCACTTCCTGGCTTGTGCAATCCACTTGTTCTTGGAGCATGGGGATTCCATATTTACAAGAAATACAAAACTTCAAAGTCATCTCAACATAGTGACTTGTGTTCAGTGTATTATTGATTAGCGAATATTTAGGGATGAATGTTTCACCAATAACGATTTTAATTGGCCACTTGTAAGCAGGAACTTTGACTTGACTTGGGCTCAAAAGAAAAGTGTGTTCCTGTTCCCACATGTCCCGCTAACACCAGAGTTGCAAGTCAATCTGATTGGTAATCTAAATTAGCCATTGCAGTCGGAGACTCCGGGCGCTGACACCAAGTTAATGGTCCATAAAGTACACACTGCAAGGCATACAAATGCCATCATCCTGTTACTCCTGCCCAGGTTTGAACACACTGCCTCCACTGTCCAACTCACACTCTGATGGCTTCCAGAAGACATCGCTGGTGTCGTCGAAGCTCGTCCCGGCTGCCCTTCGCCGGGCTAGCACGGTGCAGCAGCCAGCATTCTCTCAGAACATTAGCAGCAGCGTGCCGGATCTGTGTTAGAACACAGAGACAAAATGATAAGATCTTCAAGATGATGTCTGTCCATCTTTAACATGTTGCACAACACACTTAAACAACTTTTACTGTCCCATATTTGCAAATATCGACCACAGACCTCAAAGTATTCAGTGGGACCAGCACAACATAGTGCACAAATGTGAACAGTGAAGAAGGAAAGCGATACATCATTTTCACATTTGTTTATGAACAAATGGGATCCAAAAAATGTGTATATGTTCACAAGAATGTTTTTTTTACCCCCTCTGCTCTTTGCAAAGTAGTTCAAGCTCAGTGAGACTGGAAACAGAAGCAATTTTCAGGTCTTACCAAACAATTCTGACTTGGGCTCAAAAGAAGAGCCCAAGTCAGATCTAAGCTACATTAATTTATGAATATCCTTTCATCCACACAAGAAGGTCTTCAGTGTGGAGAAGTTCTTCTCCACACTGAGAAATCATAGAATTAGCTCTTTAACAGGACCTTCTATTTCTTCTATTTAATGCTCTTCCTTATTTGTAGAAAATATGAAAACCATATTTAATCTTCCTTCTATTTCCCCACTAAGCACTGCTTTGCTGCAGTCTATGATATAAAATGTCAGCACCATAAAGTGCTAATATGACTTTTACAAAACAGTCTGTTGGCCAATATGCTAAGTAGTTTCCTCATATCTTTTAGAAAGGACATAATGCATCTAAGGCAGCTGATTAAATTCAGATAGTCTTTCCTGTTTCACACTTTCTCTATTTGGTGAACATTTCAGAACCATAACTTAAACTTCTTAACATCACAAGACCCAACGGCCCACGTTCGGGTCTTGCAGCAACTCTTCCCTGTGATTCTATTTGCGTCCAGCTTGTTTTCCGGCACAAATCACTACAACTGCCCTGTTGTGATGTCACTCCGGCCCTGTTGCGGTGGTTATTAATATAGCCTGTCAGTGTCCGCATCCGGATGTCTTCCCTTGTTCCCTTTAGTGATAGCTCTGAAGGATGCATGCGCACGCACAGAGATGCACCTAGAGACAGGATGCAGCCACGAGAGGAGAGGAAACGGTTCCATTCTCCAAACAGTGCCGCTGCTGCATGTGGCGAGCAGAAATAGGTCTCCTTAGAAACCCGAAGGAGATGCTAAGATTATGATGTCATAAATCTGTATTTTCTTCAACTCAGGGTCTTAAATCACTCCCTTTGAATTAAAAATCTTATTTCTGATCAAGCAGCAATTTAAAGTACATGCTTCCACTTTTCAAATTCCTCTGCAGGCCACGATTAACAGAAACACCAGAGTAAACGAAGTTTCCTGTCCGTCCTGCTCCGACCTGAACTGACTGAAGCTTCTTTCCTGTCAGAGATAAGATTATTTCCTCTGTTTGACGCCTTGAAAGAGCTCTAAAGAACTTGGCAGGCCTCATCTTCCTCTCGTGTCCCCCCTCACACTATCCTGTTCTCATGTGTGTATCAGCTAGGGAATAGAAAGGTTACGAAAGAATGATGACGCACGCTTCCCAAAACGTTAATATATTTCTTTTGACTGTTGGGTGCAGGATCATTTTAGGGCTCTTGCATTTTTTTATTTCTTATATATCTGATTAGCTTGCAAAGAGGTCAAAATTATTTAAACACATTTTGTCGTTCAGAGCAGTTTTGTGGATTAAGAGTTGTTGGAGGTTTTTTGTAAAGTTTTTTGTGACTGAATCGATTTTTGTGACTGACTGAAACAGATGTGTTTGTGCTTTTGCTGAATCAGTCTTTTCTTGTTAAAAACACCGCCTTGTAAAAAAAAAAAAAAGCTGTTCAGGACAAACTTATCTGGTTTTACAGTAGCATTAAAACACAATGTTCCCGTGATGCTGACAACAACTAAAAAGACAGACACAATGTTCCTTTTAGTGCATTATCTCACAAGTTTTGGATACATAAGTTTTGGGCAGGTTACATCTCTTCTCATTGGGAAGATAAAGAGATAAAGAAAATGGTAGATTAAATGATGAACAGAGGAAGAAGAACAATAATTCTTGTTTTTAAGAAATATGGAAAGGGGAACCTGTTACTTTCATTAAATTAACATGAAATTAATGAACTAATTCAATCTTTAAATTATGACTCACATTTTATTTCTTAATTATGTATGAAATAATGCTTAAAAATGTAGTAATTACTCATCCATGTATTTAATGTGCTCCAATATTATTGAAATGTTTATATACGTATTGTGGTGGAACATGTTAAGGTTACCATATGATTATGAGTAAAACGATGTGTAATAAAGGTAAACATGACAAATGGTTGGATGAAAGAAGCGTTTTTTCTTCACACACTCACACAACACATCACTGCCTGACCCGGTTCTGACCACTGAAAACCATCAGTAGTCACATTTATGAGATAATGAGCAAGAAAATATGGGCCCAAAAGTTTGTAATGTATTGATCACCAGGTGGAACATTTTAGTCTTTCTAAAAGAGGAAGTTTTAAAATGTTAACATATTCATTTAATAGATCATGAAACATTTTGTTCTTAATAATCTATTAATAATTTACGGTGTCATTTAAATGAAAAGCAACCCTCCAGGCCCCAACACCACACTATTCCCTCCTTCTGCTGCAGGAGCACCGCTGGCTCTCAACGCTTTGTTTTCGTTTTTTTTTTTTTTTTTACCAAGTTTGGCTGCTGCATATTCTGCTTTATTATACACTCAGTGTTTGTGGTATTGAACGCATTTGCTGAAGGAGAGTTAAAACCGACCCTTTTAGAAATCTGGATGTCCATCATGAAGAAGTGCACATGCTTCTCTCCTTTGTTCAGCGCCAGCTTCTCGGTAACGATGGCCACCAGCATAGCAGTGCAGGCAACACCCTGAAACCCAAAAAGGTACACAAAACCATTTAGCGCTGGTTTCACTGTAGAGGTTTTTGTCAGAACACCAAACCTTTAAAATGATGGTGACTTTACCATGTTAGTATTTTGGATGCTACCCTCAAAGGAAATGAGCTAGTCATTGAAGTTGATCCTCGTCTCTTAATGGTTACTTCTAATAAATGGAAAGAGACATTCTGTAGTTAAGCAGAAGTCTACGACTCCATAATTGTGTGGTTTCCTCTGAGAATAACTTGCTATTATTGGACAAGGATCTGCAGTTTTCCAAAAATCCATTCACAAACACAACAGAAAAAGATGCAAAACGGAACAGAAACACACAGCAATGTGTCCACAATGGTGAATAGGAGTGAACCAGTTTTTACCTGGTGTTCTGCTTTTCGGCTTGCAACAGAGAGAGAGAAAAAGAGGGAGGAAGAAGGACAGACAAAGCATGATCATAAGAAACGTTCAGGCAGAGTTTTGAAAGATGTTTATTCTTTACTTCAGCAGCCACCAAATGTCCATCATTACATCGTTTGCGAAACCCTGGAGGTAGAAGCTCTTTCGTCGGATTCATCTACACACAGCGATGGACTGTACACACAGCTGTCAACCCCTGGAAACAGCTGCAGACCGATCTTTTGCAGGAGTGCTGAGCAGAATAGCTTCCAGCCATATTACAGGTGTGAGCATCACTACCTATAACTCCCAGGACTTTCCCAGTGGGAGTCGGAAAAAAACTTTTTTCTAACTGTGGGCACAGGTTCGCACACCCTGCTGCTGTAGTGGTGCCAAATGCAATAAACCTGGTAAAAATGGATATGGTGGAAAGTTTTCTCTTTTAGTGGAAACTTATAAAACAAGGCAGATGGAGAAATATGAGATACAGAGTGGTTGTTTTCCACTCTGTCACAAAGGTGTCTAAACACATCCAGAACCACCACAGGGATTCTGATCTGGTTTCACTTGGATTCAAGGTGGCAGAGAAGTGTGTCGCTTTTTCAGAATCCGCCACACCTCATCGTCAGTGACATGATGTTTGTCTTCTTGTTTTATTACACATATGTATTTAATCTTTAACTTTGTTCCGGACCTTTCTGAACACCTGCTGTCATAGGAACATTAGCTTTAGTTCTCTTTGTATATAAGAAAAACAAACAAACAAAAAAAACTTGAATCCCCCTTTAACCTTCTCACATTTTGTCAAGTAACAGCCACAGTCTTTGAATTCCCTGGGATTTTATGTGATATACAAGAGAATACAAAGCCTTGTCTGACTTAGAAGAAAATATATGAGTGATTTTTGGAATATTTTACAAATTAAACCAGAAAAGTGTGGTGTGTGTAGTTTGTCAGCCCCCTTTACTCTGCTACCCCAGATTCGGTGCAACTTCCTCTTTCAGGATCCAGGTGTGCGCAATGAGATTTGAATAAATCCACCTGTTAATGGCTAAGAGGTTTCTTAGAGAACATTAGCGAACAAACATGTCCATAGAGACCAAAGAGCACAGCAGGCAGGAAAGAGATACAGTTCATCTAAACATATTTAGGCAATAAAACGACGTCCAAACCCCTGAGGGTCTCACAGAGCACTGTTCAACCCACCATCTGCTAACTGAAAAAATGAGGCACAAACAAAACTTATGAAGCTGTTCCCATGTAAAGCAACTAGACAAGACAGTATACATCGCCTGTCAGCAACCCAAAGGTCCATATTAACTCCAGAGGACCCGCCATGTTCCCGTGGAAGAATCTGTTAACAGGACTACTGTTAGGAAACTTTATAAGTCTGACCTTTTTAGAAAAATGGCAGAAATAAACCTTATATTGGTAGAAAGCCAAAAAACACATCCTATTTGAAGTTTGGCTGAAGCCATGTAAGGGACACCGCAACAATCATGTAAGAAGGTGCTCTGCTTAGATAAGTAAGAGGAAAAATCTTCCAGTCTCCATATAAATTGTTATTTGTGGCACCAATAATCTGACATGTGACTTCAATCCGAACACAAAATCTTAACTCCAGAACATGATGACTGAAAGATCATGATGGGATGCTTCCCTTCGGCTCGTCAGAGTCACTGAAAGACGAATGAGGATAAATACGAAGCCATTCTGGAAGAAAACCTGGCGTAGAAAGACTGCAAGTTTGGGGAAGAAGTTCGACAGTTTGACACTTACAGCCAGAACGACAGAGAAATTATTTACATCAAAGTACATTCTTGCCTTAGAATAGTCCAGTCAAAGTCCAGAGCTAAATACAATGGATAATTTATAGCAGGATTTGGAAAAATGATGTCAAATACACAAAACTCTGACTGAGCTTGTCTTCTATTGCTAGATAAGCAAATATTTTTGACAATAGAATCAAATGGTGCTTCTAGAAAGTGCTGATGAATGCAAATACACCCAGCTAATCATGTTTTTGAGGATAAATGTTGAAAATAATATATTATTTTACTTAAACTTCAAAATCATACCTCTTTTATTGTAAACTCCTATTAAGATACTTTTAATTTGTGATTGTGACATGACAAAATGTAAAAATGTTTAAGAATAAGATCATATAGTATTAACTACCAACTGAGCTGCATTGCTTCTTAAGATTTCACCCTGGGATCCTTTAATTGGTTCCCTCAAATAAGAAAAAGACAGCTAGCTGTAGACCAGGTGTGGAGCAAAGCTGCAATACTTCATATGTTTGCTGTCTTCCTCCACAGAGAGTTAACTTACAGCTGGGAAGCATGCTGCAGAAAATGCATTCATTACAGAAGCCTTACGCATCCAAGAAGACTGGTCTCCATGCACAGAATAAATATACTGCCAAAAGGAAGAAATTCAAAGACCAATTCCAAATGAAATAGGAAAAATCAGACAGGAAAAGGGGGAAAATGTTCTGTAGCGGAGCAAGTGAAACAAACCAGAGGAGAATAAATCTAAGAAACCTGGAACAAAGCTGAAAATATTTAGTTTGAGTCCCAGCAAAACAGATGAAAGGATCTATTGCAAAAACTGAACGAGGAGGTAAAACGTACATGTCTATATTGCAAAACTATCACATTATTTATTTTAATTAAATTAACACATATGCAAATTGTAGGACATCCAGTTAAAACTGAGGATATTGTTTTATGTACATTTCTATAGCTGGTCAGCACAGCAGCCTGCACAATGCTTGGATACATCTGAATGATTGGTGTGGCCTTCCAAGCTGTTTTTCCATATTGTTTTGCAGATTCTTTGCAATAAATTTAGCCTGAGTATAGCTTGTTAAAATGCCACATCAAGAAAGCAATAAAGGAATAATTTTACGCCTCAGCCTCAATAGGGGCGTGCAAAAGCAAAAGAAGTTGACGGAAGACGGCTGGAGAAGTGCAGCATAACCAACTGAATCACCTGATAACTATCAGGCTACTTATCCACGCAAATCAGAAGCCAGAAGTGGTTTAGCTTTTAATAAGCAGAGAAGTGAAACAAAGATAAGCTCATCAAGTCAAGCATCACTTTATGTCTTCTGGAACAAATATAGAAACCACTGGATGAGAACCACAGTATTTCAGTTTTGCTTTAATCGTTCTACGACTCCAGTATTTATCATACGGTGCATCATCTGAAGAAGAAATTAATCTATTTACCATGACACCGGTAAAGAGACACACCCCCTTGCCACAGCTGGTCTTGGGTGCAACGTCTCCGTAGCCCACAGTGAGGAAGGTGATGGCGATGAGCCACAAGGCGGTGTCCATTTGGCCCGTCGTCAGCGACTCAGACCGCCTGCAGATGAGAGGATGGAGAGTGGAGGAGGTGTGACAGACAGATCATTTTTGCTTATAATCGCCAATCATATTTTCACAATTATTTTCTTTTTTATGTAAATTCCTAAAAATATTAAATTAAAAAATCCTTCCATTACAGGAAACGTGTAATTTTGGATGTAATGAAAATAAAAACTAGCATCTGAGTTTTATTCATCAATAAGAAGAATTTATGCGTATGGATGTCTGTGAATTTATCAGATGACCAATTTATTTGATAAAATGTTAAAAAAAAAAGAAGAAAGTTTAAGACCTTTAGAAGAGATGCACATTTTTTAAGTAATGTAGGTTAAAATATTCAGTCAATCTCAAACCATTGAAAATATAGACCTGATGAATATTTAATATGACCCTGTTTATTGTCTCTGTTTGAGTCGGATTCACATTAAGGAACATTTGCATGAATGAAATTAATGGGAAAATAACAGAATTGATGGATTCTTCAGCGCTGAGGAATCCATCGCTTTCTGTGTGTGTTCATGTTAGAGCCAACAGAATCCTGTATGTTGAATGAAGGCAGCGTTCACTAATCAAACTCTCTTATCAGTGAAGGAAGGGAATGATTACCGTCATAAACTAGGAAGACATTGTAAAGAAGATGTGCACACACCTCAAGAATTATGAAAAATGCAAAGTGTAATGGCAACAGAGAGAAAAAGAAAGTTACTGTCAACACAGTTAAAGAATAAAAAGTACAACCTCTTTCTACCATAGGATTAAATGATCACCACCACTATCTCTATAAAAACATGTTTTCTGCCAAATTATTTATTTTTAGCTTGGTTCGGTATGTAGAGGTACGGGTGAATTAATGGCAAAAAGGAGAGGTATCAGTCTTGGTACAGGTTGTAATAATCTGAAGACTACTATCCAAATGACAAATTTAAAATGAGCAGAGGGAAAACAAATTTCTGCATTGTCATGTGCTTGGAAATGTTCTAGTCCACATAAATTTGAAGGAAAAGTATGTATTGCACTGTGTTTGTCTCCTGTACGTGGCAGGTGGCAGCTATATTTGGCCGTTCATTATGAAACGATTTAGAGGTCAAAGCACCTATCATTTTCAGCTCTAATGTTACTTTTGACAAGCAAAACAAGTATTGGTTTGGGTCAGACCTCTCATTAAGCTTTAAATATACAAATGAGCTCACACCATGACAGCCAGAGCATTACTTAGGCTTTTTAACTCACACAGAAAAGAACATTCTTAGAAGAACAACACAGAAAACAACAATGAAATTACTTCTTATTATGAATAAGGAACTGAATTTTACTCCACTGGCTCAATTATGGGACCAAAGGCGATACCATTTTCTATAAACTACTCATATGGCAAACTGTGCTTAATTAAAATTTAATTTGTCTTTCAAATTAAGTCAAATCTAAAAATCAAGTTCAATCTGTGATCTCATACAGGTAAATATAGTACACTATGAACTGTTCCACATATTCATTTTAATTCAAAGTACTGCAAAACAGAAATCTAGAAACAAAATATATCAGTTCAACAATTTAATTATTTAAAATATTTAAGTCTAGACCCTAACAGCTTTGAATTTTGGGAGGATTTGCATGAACCTTCATTGGAGAGATTTCTTTTTCAAGTTCAAGATGGAAGTACTCCAGCTGAGTGCTTCCATCTTGAAGTACTCAGCTGGACTTGAGCCGGGTCGGTTCATCTCCAGCCAAATATCAGCAACACATTTCCCCTCAGATGCAACACTAAAGTTCTGTGCATCAAACAGCCATGCAGCAGGCATCCTGATTTCCTTCATTTCTGTTGTTGGGACATATAGTCATGTCAATATATGAAATATATGGAAATCTGCAAGTGCTCCAATTTCCAGCAGTGAAAAAGAAATTGACAGCTTGACTTTAGTAATGGACTGGAGAAGAGGAAATAGATTTTGTGTCTAGTAAAAATATTCCAACACTTTAAACTTCTTTTACATCTCACGAAATTGCACCCAAATATGAGAGTAATGTTACAAGAAATGATCTTACTTTGGTCTTATTATGTGTTGTACTATCAACACAAAGTGGAGCCGATTAAAAGCATGCATGCACTACATTGTCTTGGTCTGTCACATAAATCCAATTAAAATACATAAAGGAATATTTGCAATGTAACATAATGTAAAAAAGTTCAACAAATGCAACAAAAATAATTCTCCACCTTTAAATAATAGATATTCATCACAGATTTTTGAGGTGATCTCAGTTCGTCACAAACCTTTGTAGTTGGGCTTTATCATAGCAGAACTTATGGTGTGTGGTTGTTCAGGCTTGAGGTTAGATTTTCATAATTTCAGGTCTTGATAAAGAAGAGATCATTTGCATGTCAAAACACTAGTGCTGGAAGAGGAAGTTTTTTCTTTTTATCAAAGAAAAATAATCAAAAGTTTCTTAAAAGCATATAAGACTTAGAATAAACCTGAATAAAGTTTACCATTACGGTTCATTTTCTGCTATGTGCTATAAAAACACAACCATGCTTTCATTCTTTTTCACAAATCTATTCACACACACACACACACGCACACACACACACACACACACACACACACACACACACACACACACACACACACACACCCACACACACACACACACACACACACACACACACACACACACCCCCACACACACACACACATTTTTCTTACCTCTCACACAGCGTCAGCATCCACGACGCTGTGAGCCAGAAAGGAGGATAAACACCAGCAGCACACGCGCCGGGTGTTTGTTCATCAGTACCTTCAGAACAAAGCGAAAAGTGAAGTTGATGTTGTTAAGCGAGCCAATGCTCCTGTAGGAGGCGCTCAGGAGCACTTTGCTGTGCAGCAGGATGGCTCTGTGAACCAGGTAGAGGCGCAGGAACATGAGCATGGACAGCAACAGCTCCATGTCCAGCAGGGCCTTATCGTGGTGTCTGGAAATGCAGAGAGGAGCGGCGGAGGAGGAGTTGGAGTAGAGGTCCATCTCCCAGTACGAGCCAACTGGATGGATGACACAAACCAGCAGCTCCAGGGTGATCACAAGAACCCTGTGACTTGTTATAGCTATTCTCCAGTCCACCTCCTTGTGATCAATGATGAACAGCTAGAAGGAGCAACGGACAGAGAAAGAAACTGGTGAACATTAAAAAAGGCCACTTGGGAATGAATACAAATGTTTTGCTTTTGCTGGACATGAAAAGTCTAAAGTATTTTATCATCTCTTAGTATTTTGCTTTCAGGCAGCCAGGATCTCTTATAATTTTTTAGTCCCTCACTTTCTGAAGGTCTTTTGTAATTTTTTTTAGATTTTAGCAGCAATACATTTAATTTCAGTCCCTAACTAACTAACTAACCAACTAACTAACTAACTAACTAACTAACTAACTAACTAACTAACTAACTAACTAAACAGAGAAAAATCAGCGACAAAGTAACAAAACACAATAAATGTAAAAATAATATCAGCAAAGCAAAGAAACAAAAAGAACTACAATAGCAAACAAGAAAAAATTAACTTGAAAAAACTAAGGAAGGAAAAATCAAAAGAAGCAAAATAACTTCAAATGAGGGGTAATTTAAAACTTTTATCGTAGGACCCGTAGCAAAGGAATCTGATGTGCTGCCGTAATTTTTCCATAAAGTGGAAAAAAGTTGTTCTTTCAGGGATCACAAACATCCATTTGAGTTTTTATGTTTAATATAAGAAGAGAAACACACAATCATAACGTGTTTATGGTAGAGGGAGAAAGACGTCACAGCTGTGCTACAATTGTGGTTTTTCTTCATCTTAATTCAACTTTTGCTTTCGCTTAACCACAATCCTGCTGCAGTTCTTTGTTGTTGTTGTTTTTTACTGTGACTAATGAGGTTTGTTAAATTTTTATTCTCCTCTGTTATAAGATGACATCTAGTCTCCTAATTCATATCTGATTTCAGTTCTCTCCATTTTCTTCTTCTTTATTTCACTTTGTTTTGCGTTTCATGGCTGTCCTCTTTAAATGATTTCCACACTTTCACTGGTGCCTACATTTCTGGATTTGTCCTGAGTACCGCCTCTAAAACGGGTTGTTCTACTCGCATAAGGCTTGCTGAAGCTTTCCAAATGAAATGTTGCTGTGCTTTTAAAGGGTTACGTCTCCACCCTCAACCTTCCCTCCCTTATCTCCTGCTCACACTTTGCCTTACGTTTATCAGGCAGATGCAAGCGAGAATACGAACCCGGCCGGCTGCTAACAAACTCAGTCCAAAAGGAAAACACAGCTTTTGCCTTTAAAAGTTGTCCACTGAACGAGCATGCTGCAACTGCTTGAAGACAAAGACTAAAATGTTTTCTCAGTTTAGCCTCAGTCAAATCCCTTCATGTACACTGACTAAACAAACTGCGACAGCAAGCCATGTGGACTGAAACGACATCACAGCCGGGTCCATGCGGGTTTATGTTCCCATCCAGAGGCTTTCTAGGAAGTGCAGCTAAACAATGTTGAGGCTACCACCAGTGGACCAAAAGCTCCTTAAAAACAATGGTCATGAGGGATCTCAAACAAAACAAGTTCATTTGGAACAAACATCTTAAAACATGAACATTCATTACAAAGCAACCAACAAGAAGAAACTAGCGGACTCACCCTGATGTCCTTATAATGGAAGGCTATGATGAGGATGAGGAGACACCCAGTGGACAGGCTGATGGAGCAGTTGATTACCAAGGACACTTTTGAGCCCTACAAAGACAACACAACAGAATGAGATGAAGCAAAGAAAGAAGAAAAGACATTTAGTTGATTTCCCTTAATGTTTTTGTCACGCTGTTATTTAAAGGTACCATGATGTGCTGAAAAAATTACTACTTAGTACATTCACAAACACACACTAATAGCCAAAGCAGACTTCCAATGCAGTTAAGATAAATGGTAATCTGGCTTTAGTTTATTAAGGTCGGTGACGTCGCAAGAGGCACAGAGTCTTCATGTTTTAACATCGATTCTGAGGTGTTCAGCCTGATGCGTTTGAGTCCACGGATGCCCAAGTTGTTATCAGTGCAACAGCTCCAAATATTATTGCAAAGCCAAAATGTTCCAGGTCTGAAGGTTTTGCTCTGGACGAGACACATTTGATGTGTCTGTTGATGATGGCCATGATCATCAGATTTTACACCTGTCTGAATATTTGTTGCCGGTAAAATGAGTGAATTCTCCATGCATCACCTTGAATAGTTAACTGGTGATCTTTGGTTATCCAAACAACTTCTCTCTGACAGCCAACGTTGGCATCTTTTTCTTTTGTTTCTCTTGATGTCAACTGGAACGACGGCCGTCATTTATTCAGCTCTGGGCTCATTATAAGTCTGCCTGCCTGAAAACAACTTGGCAAAAGCAGCATGCAATAAAGCATTGTAGAGACACTGAACACATCGACTTGGTTTTTGTAACAACCGAATGAAATTGGACCATTCCAGTCTGCCTTGGTCCTTTTTACAAACCACTTCCATTTGCTTTACTGTTGTCAATGTTCTTAAAATTCATACAGATTTCTCATGTATAACTTCACTACTTAGCTGCTGATTACAAGCAAATGCTTTGAAGAAGGAATTTAATACGTAAATAATTAGAATAAAAAGGAAAATGCAACTGATGTCAACAGAGGTGTGTGAACTTTGAAAGTTGGGATTGTGTGCTGAAAAAGAATTCCACTTTGCAACAAAATAGCAAAAGAAATGATTCATATTTTACTTCCCCCTTGGTTCTAATTTTCAAAATTACCATTGAATTCTTGATGTAAATCATAATGGCTTTGTGTGCTTAAGAACCTTTATTACGTTTAAAGCCTCAAACTTCCAAAACCCAGAGCGATTGTTCTAATTTCCCTGTTTGTTTCGTTTTGTTTTTACTGCTAACTGGGCGTGTTAACATCTTTAAAAAGCAGCTAAAACCGTATAGGTCAAGTTAACCTTACAGTTTGTGATTTTATCACTTTCCCCTCCCTTCAGGCCCCATGGCTCTGATGTGTGTGGAAAAAGAGGGAAAGGCGGGTCACACATATCAAGAGCTTTATATTTTGCCTGTGATGGAGGCTGATTAATTTTTTATTTTTTTCTTAAAGACAGACAGAAAACATGATCTAACATATGGTTACTGTTAAGCTGTTTGGTGCTTCAACTGTTTGCACATGTCTGGAAAATTGTACGATTTGTAATAAAAGCCTGCGTGTCCCAGTGGCACCACATTGCAGTGTGTAACTAAAGATATCACATACTTAGAAATTAACGTGTCAGTCGACCCAAATGGCCCATTAGCATTGTTGAAAACAATATGCAGCAAGGAGGAAATTATTAACTTCTTTCATCTGACAGTCTGGAGTTGCTGTCTGCCAAAAGGGAATGTGGACAAACAGAAGGAAATGTTCTTAGAGTGCAGAAAGGACAGCTTTCCAACAAAAACCGTAAACCTGGAGCTTCCCTGCAAAAGGCATAACTTAGTTAAATCTAACATCAGAAAGTAAGACAATCACGCCGCACGTCAAGAAACCAAAACAATTCAGCTTAATTTTAAAGTACTGACCATAAATTGACATTAATCATCCCCAGAGACGAAGAATGTAGCAGAAGACAAAATATGGCTTTCTTACCCACATCAGTTTTTTATTTATTTATTTATTTTTATTGAAAGAATAAAATATCCAGTAGAAGGACCAGAAGCTTCTGCGGTCCTCAGCTCCGCCACCGGGCCAGACGAGACGCCTATCAGAATGTTACGATGTTTAAATCTCTGGAGCTATTTTTGTTTTTCAATCATTCAAATTTAAACATCAAGAGCTTCAAGACCAAATGTCGAAATAGCGTCACAATAACATAAGATTACCGTCTCCTGTTGTCCTGCAGTTTAGTTTACAATTAGTGAAATTATGTCCTTTAACTCTGTCAGCTTTTTATCGTTATGTGGTGTTAATAAATTCTGCTCTGAAAGCTGTGCACAGCTCCTGTTTTCAAGTTGCTGGTGTTAATGATTTAAACTGATCAGGACTAATTATAGAGCAGTATTCCTGAACAAAGCTGGTGATATTAATAGAGCTACTGAAATAAATAGTACTACTTCAGGCGATAAATTTTCTCCATGCGCTGCAAACCTTCACAAAAACACTGAATAAAACATTGGGGAGAATTAAGCAATGAATAAATGAATTGTTGATAATGACTTAATGATGTGGCTGTGTCTTGGCTCTCAAGAGGTGGAAAAGCAAACCGGTTCTTTTACAGAACTGGCTCCAGCATCAGTCATGGTTAAAAACTGGAACATCTCCGGTGGAAAAGTTCTAATGGTTAATAAATAGTTTCGAATGAATTAAATCAATTAAAATGCCTCACAGCGTATATATTCATGTGTCTTTGGAAACTTAACTCCGAAGACATAAAATGCTACAAAAATATTGTGTTTTCAAAACATTAACAAAAAAAAAGTGTTCAATTTGGCAACTTCCTCAGTAGCGCTTTGCTAAACTCCAATGCCAAGGTGTTTTATGGATCATCGCTCTGCATTACTGGTATTGCTGTTCATATTATCTACCTGTCGTATCTGAAAGTTTTGCAAAAGAACAAATTGAGCTGATTGTTCCTCTCTGTCTGCTCAGAGAACACAACAGGAGCCATTGTGATCATTGTCTTTCCACATGAAGCTTGAGCAGAGATTTACAATAATTGTTTCTAATGAAAAAAGGAATAAATGATTGTATAATGAACTGAACTGCTGAAACCAGCATGCTTGTAATGGAATACTTTCCACAGCAGGAAGCTGACAGCTGGAGGCACAGATGCACACGCTAAGGTCGGCTCGCAAGCCGAAAGCAGAACCAAGCAAGGATTCACCGCACTGCTTCATGACAGCAGGTTAAACGGCACCTTTATCCATGAGTCACGCATCCCAAAGCAGAGGATGAACTTCGGTGGAAGATTTAAACAGGATGTGGTTTATGCTTAGAAAGAAAATTGCAAACTTTCAAACTCTGTGAAGCCCAAGAGTGTTGGTGGTAGTGTGTGACGTCCGTTGGCAAGGTATGTTGTTTTCCACAGTTTCTGCAGTAGCATCCACGTCGCGTCTGCGTTTCATCCAGAACTAATTAGGAGATTTCACAAAAGCTCAACGTTTCACCGAGTGCCGTTACAGAGACAACAACAGCATACACTTTACTGAGTTTCTTTAAATGTTTCTGTAGCAGCTTTCTCTAAGAAACAATGTGTTTTTAAGATGAGTAAAGCAAATTTAGGTTAACCGTGAAAGGCATTAAGACAAACCACTGTAAGCAGGAGTGACCACTTTTACAAAAAATGAAATCAAACCACTAAAAGCAGAACAACAAGTGTAAACAGTGGTATCTGAAGTATCAACTGACTGTGATTTTCAGGATATTTTTAAGATTAATTATCATGCACATTATTTTAGCCGTTATAATTCATGTTCAGAGTTTTAACTATCAACATAGTCATGCAAAGAAGCAAGCAAAGACAAAAACTTCAAACGTTTCTTTTTGTCCTAATCCCCGCTCTCCAAAAGTCTAATTCAAAACTCAGGTTGGTACTGCAGATGCCTACAGTAAACACTTAGCCCTGTGTAGGAGTTAACCCTCAACAGAAGCCTAACACCGTTCACAGTTTCAGGTATACACTTTGTTTTTATGAACACAAATGAGCTCTGTAGCTCATTTGACTAAATTCTGCACTTTGCTTTGAGATGCAGTTCAGCAAAATCTCCCTGACGGCTGCAACACATGTGGACCGGTCTGACTCGCCCTGTTCCAGTTGTTTTGTGCACTAAAGAACAGAGCCATCTGTACTCAGGGGGACACAAAGTTACACAACAGTTTAGGATTCGCTAATTTTACAAAATGTTTTCACACTGAATGACATTGTGGTTTTAAATCGGTGGGTGTATTACAAAAGAGTCAACATTTGACCTACATTTTCCAAGTATATGCACAGAAATTAAAAAGCTCCCAAATCTTGCAAAAAGAGAAAAGACTTTTTCTAAAAAATAAATCAAACTTTTACATTAAAAAGGATTTTCATGAACTTTGTGATGGATGGCGTCCCAGAAAATCTTGCTTTTGCATCACAGGCTGTAAAGCACCTGCTTCATGAAACATGGAAGAAAAGACGTGAAGACACTTTGGACGATATTTTGATCAATTCTGCTGTTGAATATCGAACAGCATAATATTCTCCTTATCATAGAAATGATGTTCTTGGTGATGTGTGAATCGAGTTTAGTTGTGGGCGTCGCAGTGCTTTGGTCAGACCTAATGTGGACCCACACATTCATGACTCACCACAGGTTGCGTTTGCATACCTGTGATGAGAATGTTTTGAAAAAATGCGGTTCCTTCGCCTTGAACGTTTTTTGTTTTCTCACATCAAAACCACAACCTTTAAATAAGTGTTTTTGCTTTGTGATAGATCAGTGCACTGTAGTTTTACAGCTGGGAAGTGATACATGGCTATGTGATTATAGCCCTAAATACAATATTGTTAAATGCTTTGAAAAGAATGCTATTTAGCAAATAGAAGTAACCTGTCAGTAGCAATTGTTTTGTAGTGAAGCTAAATAAATATTCATGCCACGTGTTTCAGACTTTCTTTGCAAAGATATGGAAAATCTTTTAAGTAAAATCGGGAATTAACATTGTGTTGCAGTATCACGTAAAATCTCTTTAAAATAGTTTCTAGGTATAAAGTGAAAGAAAATGTGAGGAGACTGAGGCGGTACATGGATTACTCTGGCAAAGCGTTGTAAACAGCGTGTCATGTCTGCCTCAGACGTTGTTGGAACCGTCGCATGTTTTCAACATCTGAAGCGGCTGATTTTGGTTTCTGCTTTGATTTTCATTTTCTTTAGGACTATGAGTCGACGCGTCTGGAATCGCAAGCGTCTGAGTCAAAATGATCCGCTTTCCCCCTGAAATGTCAGGTCTGCTCGGCCAGTCAGTCGAAGTGGAGTTTAAAACCGTAAAAGGCTTTTCAAAGGAAACTAGGAGAAAAGATGGCATGAGGTCACAAACAGGAGCACACGCTCATTGTGAGACGCACTGCCAAAGTCAGAATGGAGAGAGTCCTAAAGAAAAGTCAGAATGGAGAGAGACTGTTCAGACTGGTCATGCAAACACCATAATTATAAACTAAATGGTGTGGAAGATAGCCTGGAGTGCTGTTAACAATCTTGCTGCAGGGGAAGAGGCAAAATGTGGAAAAATGTGACATAAATAGACCTGTTTTCATGTAAAAGTATGCTCAAATATAACTTTGAGGGCTGCTGATATCTTTGAAAAAACAAGTATGCTGCAGCAGACTTAGAAATGAGGTTTTACGCTTTCTAGAAAATAAGATTAAGACACTTCGAATCTGCTGCATTGTGAAGCAGTTGTTACTGACAAAGAGCAAAATCAGTCAAGCTCTCAGTCATGACTCGGATATCATCTAATGTATTAAGATGAAGGGTAACAATGGTTATATAAGCTATTCAAATCAGTTGTGCCGAGTCTCCAAAGTAATAAGTTTTAACTGCGCAACAGAGCGCTTTTCCAGTGCATCAACATTTCCATGGCACTAAGGTTTTATGACTGTTTTCAGAAATGATTGGATAACACCTGTTCTGTCTACATTGAACTGGAAAAGAAAAGCTTGATTTTTTTTTTGCCAGTCACGTCTCCGGCTCCAAACTCCCCCAACGAATGCATCAGGTGTAAGCGAGGGGTCCCCACCGAGTCGCTCGAAGACGTGTGGCTGATGTTTGCTGGAAGCATGGGGCCCTTCGACACCGTAATCAATCACTGCTGCTTCGTGGGACGAAGGGGGTCGGATGCTCTGCTGCTCGCATGAGAACTTTTTTCCACATGTTGAGTTGGCGTGTTGCTGCTAAGAAGGTGGAGGGCGGAGGACGGGGAGGGGGGGGTTAATAATTGGTTGATTGTGTGGCCTGGCATTGTTATCCAATGAGATCTGCATGTTAATGTCAGGCTGAGCTACCAAAGTGGAGATCTGGAAACAGACTCACTAATCAGCGGGTCAGAAGGGGTCAAAGCCCAGGTGCAGAGTCTGCAGCCGAGCCGCATGGGGTTTATGTTGCCTGCTGATCAGAAAACTCCTTATGGCAGCAGAAAAAAAAAAAAGTTACAATGGATTTTCTGGAGGTTTTTTTTTTTGTTATTGAGTATAATCTTTGAAACTGAAACTTGCCAAAAAAGCGATCAAAGTCTCTCCACTCGAAGCAGACCGAGTTGGAAAGCTTTTGCTTTCTGAAAGTTACAGAGAGAAGACTCTAATCCTGCTCTCAGGATTTTCAAAGAGTAGAGAACGCTGTTTTTGTCTGATGACTGTTTTTGACCCCGTTCTCATGAAACTTTGGCATATGAAAAAAACAAACAAACAAAAAAAAAACAGAGAAAATCATGTTTGAACCTATGATTTATTTGGATGATTAGTCATATGGTGAAATCAAATATATCTCCTACAATCTGAGGCTCATTTTGTCTAAAAGTTGCCGTTATGATGGATTTTATGCAGGTCCTCCATTCTGTTGATGTCTATGTATCAGAACTTTTAATCGTCTGCAGCAGAAAACTTTGGGAATATTGACCTTCTGTTTCTCTTTATTGTCCTTTGTACCTCATTTCATCCTGTCAACTTGTTTTGTGTTTTTTTTACCATCTTTGCACTTTATTTCTACAACTAACATCGTCTGTCCAGGATATCTTATTATTTAGAAATTAGGGAAAGCAAGACTGAAAGAAATACTTTCACACTCAAAACACGTCTGTTTTGGTTAGGGGACAGAAATTATCACATTATCTGTTCTGAATGTGAAAAATACACTGTGGAAAAAATAAGACTGACTGACAAGGTTCACTAAAACTGTTTGTATGATTGAGCTTGCTGTTTTTACTGCATCAGTCTTGTGCTGATATTTCAAAATAGGCTTTAAGACAATTATTCAGCAGCAGAGTTAAAATACTGATTGCATCGAATCGTCAGATGTCCAAACGCCATAAATCCTCTGACGGCTCCATCACACAACATCATTTACCAACAGCAAAAACCTATGAGCAATGGTAATAAATTAAACAACATATCATGTTGCATGTTGTTATGTGAGAAACGTTCAATTCTGAGAGCAACTAACAGTACTTATGAAACCTATTGTTCATTTAATCATTCATTTCTTTCAATTCTCAGCTACCTTTGTTTATATTTTAATTCCCATACAAATGAAGGTACAAATGAAAAGGAACCAACTATAATTTCACTGAATTATGAACTATTCTAATGGATCTGGAAGTTTAGTTTTTGTCTTTAGAACAGTGTTTGTTTTCTGCATGTGGTTTGATAGGCTTGCTTCAAAAAGCAACAAGCTTCCTAATAGCTATTGTTGCTTTTTATTGTCATCGCAATAAACTAATTATTTGTGAGACATTTTCAATTCCATATTGACCGTCTGGTTTCGATGCAATATTATATTAAGCCTCTAATTACAATACAGTCAGGGCAGAAAAGATTTGTATTTTTTTGTTTTTACTTTTTGAACAGTTTTTATTGTCTTTCAAGTCAAAAACAGAATGTGATGCTGAACACTAAACTGAAAGTGGGGCATTTAGCCATTCCACATTGTTTGTTTTTGCTTTTTCTGTTTTCTTGACAACTCCTGAGCCGTGAGAATCAAAACATATCCACACTTGCAAAACTCAGATCTTAAGAAGCTGAATGTTTGAACTGCACAAGTGATTCAGATGTTATGATGTTATTCTCCCTGAATCGGTGCACTTCCTCTGGATTTCAGGGATCAAATGCCTGTTTGGCCTAAAGCATAACGTGACACTTCCACGCAAATGTCCTGGCATCAGATGTGGCTTTCCAATAGGCAGGGTGGACATGTTTTTTTTGTCCTAATATACCTGAGTTCAACCTGCAGAGTACAGGAAAAGTCAGGGCAGAAAGAATGGAAGTAAACCAGGAAAATAAGCTAATGATTAGAAATGATAGATTTGGTAATAAAGAAGTCAATTCCTTTCTGGTTGATAGCAGTGGATTGTGTGCGCAACCTACCGGTTCGTAAACATAGGGGCAAATTTCAGCGTGGATTATCATCAGCAAGATCCCCACCAAAGCGGTGCCCAAAGCCAGCGCGCAGAGGCGTTTCTTGTCCTCTATCAGAAACTTTCTGTCTATCAGCCTGCACAGGTCGTCTCCCTCCATGTGAGTTACGCGCTTCCCAGGGGAGCCAGCGGCACCGAAACCTCTGGGGAGTCCGCGCGGCTTCCACTCTTCAGCTCGTCGCAGCTGACGCAGTCCATCTTGCTGGGCAGGCTGCGGTTCGTCAGCTCCATCTCCAGGGCGCACACCAGACCTCGGCCGTCAGCTGGAGCCGCTCCGTCCTCCCGAGTAGGGGAAGGCATAGCCCGGTGGGAGAGCTGCGCATGGGACCTTCTCCTGTTTGCTGCTCGCCGGAGTCACGGAGTCACAGAGACGCCTGCCTGGCTCTCCTCTGTGATGCTGAAGGCTCCCGGCGACGCGCGCGGCGCGGCTACACTCGCCGATGAGATGCAATCATCTGCGCGGCCGCGCGCACTTATTTGCTTATTATTCCAGCACGTGCTGCTGAGCTCGAGGGTGTAAACTTCATGCTGGATGTAATCTCTGAGTTTCCTACGCCCCTTTACACGAAAACACCAAGAGGCAGCAAACCTTTTTCCACAACCAACTGCAACTTGTTTTATTTATTTATTTATTTATTTATTTATTTATTTATTTATTTATTTATTTATTTATTTATTTATTTATTGACTAATAAAACATATAGTCATAATGCTTTTCGAAGATGAAACTTTTCAAGGGGTGTTTATTTGGTTTTAGCTTACATTTCAAGAAACAGTTGGGAATAAGGTCAGAAGAACTTGACTAAATATTATCCCAGCCTCTATAAATGTGCCCAGAGTGGAGAACAACTCCAAAAATGTCAAAACTATCGTCGTCCGCCCACCGTTTAGGCAAACGGAGCATCAATTTGAGAAGCACCACACTGTAAAAACTAATCTACAGAATTCACCTAATAAAGCTGAGGTAACAATTTGCATTGACTCTTTTGGGGTACACTGTTAAAAGTTATACTCTCGATTAGTTTTTTTTTTCTCATTTTACAGTAATTATTTATCAGTGTACATACTGATGGAAACATGCATGATTCACATTTTCTTTCATTTCTTTTGACATTTTAAGAATTTGATTATTTTAAAAAATGCATTAAAATGGAAACACTGCTAGTGTCCTACATTTTTTGGAATAATTTCAGCGCTTCACAATGGTGGTTTTTAATCTGCCATACACTGTGCTCATGTGCATGAAAATACAAGTTCTGTGGATGAAAAAAGTTTGTCAAAAATGAGGACTACAAAGTAAAGTGCTGAAAATATGTTGAATATGATGTACACATAAACTGGCTTTTTTTCAGGTGGGGCTTATTTTCAACGTCTAATGTTTCCAGATGTTGGCCTCATCCACAACAGTGGCCTGTTTCATTGCCATTATGCTCTATGCTTTGACAAAGTGGGAGTGTGTGTCAGGTCATTCACCGACTGAACAGAAGTGCATCATATTACCCCAAGTGTCAAAACATGCTGATTGTTAAACATCACAATAGTATAAAAACTTGCAGTATAAAGATACAAGGGTATTTACATTCTTTACTTGCACACAAATGTCATTATTTCTTTCTTCTTTTTAAGGCTGATGCTGATATTCTGGATGATGCCATGAAGGGGATGCAGGGTGGTCTCCTGATTGTCTGTGAAGGAAACCATTGACTTATTTGTAGATGCATTCATGTCTTAAGTGTGTGTGTGTGTGTGTGTGTGTGTGTGTGTGTGTGTGTGTGTGTGTGTGTGTTGTGTGTGTGTGTGTGTGTGTGTGTGTGTGTGTGTGTGTGTGTGTGTGTGTGTGTGTGTGTGTGTGTGCGTGTGTGGGTGTGTGTGGGTGTGTGTGTGTGTGTGTGTGTGTGTATGTATCCTCATATCTCTGTTTTATGTCTTTCTTGGGTCAGCTCTTCCACTATTGGTCAACAGACAGGAAGGAGCAGAATCCATGTGCAGATCTGTTGACCAATAGTTGAACTTACCCAAGAAGGACAGCCCCCCTTAAGATGGTCCCCACATCTGGCTGACATTAGATAAATGTCACTGCCCACCTTATTTGCATAATAAAGCAGAAATGCATAAGGTAAAGTAAAAACATGAGACATGTAAAAGCAACTCCTGGAAAAAAGGATAAAAATAAACATTTGAGAGTCATAAATGAATCTGCAAGTAAAGGGGGAAAACAAAAATTTTAAAACAAACTGTAAATTGTGCTAAAATCTATAATTTGTTGGAATTAAGGTGGAAAAATAAATATGGACATTATAGATGGTCAATGAAGTTAATAAAACATTAGTTAAAGTTCTGAATTGGTGCCTTTTAAGTGCATTTACTTCATTGAGCTTTATATAAAAATTATATTTTTTATTTGTCAAAAAATTTATTTCTGTTTTTGTCAGTTTTGGATCGCCAATAAATGTCAACACTTCTGCTTGTCTTGGACAAATGTTTTCTCATATTTGATATAGAAAAATAAATGTACAATATTTGAAATGTTAGTTTATTTGGTGTAATTATTTTTAGGAAACTGGTGAACTTTGCATTATTAGTGGAGAAAGTGAACTATATTTGGAAATGTTAGTTTACTTAACTTGCAATGTTAAGTTCAATTGCTCCCTTAAACTCTTGAGTTAAATGAACTCAAAAAGGGAATCGCTGTGAATAAAATTAGTCAATTTAACTTTAACATGAGAGTTGAAAGTATATGTAATCATTTGTTACATTGACAAAATAAAACAAGTTTTTTTGAATGGATAATGTAACTTTGCAAGTTGTTTAAACTCAGAGTATGAAGTTCATACAACAAGTAGTCATTAGTTAGACAAGAGGTATAACTTAATTATTTGAATTCAAATAGAATATGAAGTACTCAATGTTTTGAGAATGAATAATGTTCTATAGTTAGTCATTTCAACTTATGGTGTCATATCTAAACAATAAATTAGATACCATAATTGCCATCATAAGTTTGAAAAAAACATATCAAATTGCATTAACTTGTTTTTTTAAGGCAGCAATTGAACTCAAGTTTTTAAGTTTAATCACCCTAATTATTTTTACAGTGCAGATTCAATTCCATATATTGAGTATAAAATAAGTTAACAAAAAATATATGAAATACTTAAAGAAATTGGGTAAAATTTATCTCATATTTATATATATATTCAACAACTACTTACTCAGTTAAATTAGGTAAAACTATATCTTGTTGGCTAGACATAACATAGACATAGTTGTTACTTTGATAATTACAAATCAAAGTTAATTAAAATCAGTTAATAACCATTACTTATTCAGAGAAGATAAGATGTACCCCCAAAAAAAGACATCCAGATCGTACACCTTCTCAATGTTTTTAATCTATAAAGTCATCAAAAACACAGAATAAACTGCAGCACAACAGTTTCACAACATTTCAAATAATGAACCTGCGTTATAACCTTACAACTTCAAATGTTGTTTCAGTAATGTTGGACAAAAAAACATATCTTTGTTTTAGGCCATCCAGACTGCTCAATAAGAAAGGAGTAGATCAGAGAAAAGGAGAAGTGAGAAGAGAAGAAAAAATGAAAGCAGAAGTGAGAAAAGATATATTTAAGGCAGACATAAAACCCAATAGGAAACAGTCTGGTGTGCACAGCAAATCTGTATAATGTTTGTTCTCTAATGGAAACAGAATAGTTTCATAATGAAAATTGCCAATTACTTGAACTTTCATTATTTACTTGTAGAATAATCCAGAAATATATCCGTTTATCTATTGATGTAGTCATCTATTTATTTGCAGCACAAAGACAAGAATAACGTCATGGCCTTGGCTTGACACGCCAAACACACAGGAGTCTTTCCCCTGCAGCATCCTGCTTCTGATGAAAACGTCTACAACACAGGATGAGTTACAGTCGAGTTCAAACCAACAGGTGTCTCCTTGCAAAATACTGGAGGAAGAAAACACAACTCGCCTTCATACAGGAAACATTCACACGAGGAAGAAGAGCCACAGGCTGAACAGTAGAGTAAAAATGAGTTTAATTTGCTGTAAAAGAGGTAAAGGTTCACTGCAAATGGTACAAATAAACCAAACTCACAAGCTTAAAACTGTCAAAATAGTGAATAAATATTCTTCCAAATCACAGAATTGGTGAGGAAAGCATGGATTTGAATGCATTTTTTATACAGCGGCGGTGATCATAACAAGGATTATTTACCATCATTTAAAAGGGGAGTAAGATGTTTTGTGAATTTCCAATATATAGATGCTCCGTTTCATTACAAAAATAAAAAAACAATTAAACTTGATGCCACTTGAGCACCATCTATTGGTGGTCAAATAAATTACAACAAATAGAAAGTTCAGAAAGCATGGATAGGCATTGTTAAATATATACAACCTGTTCAGTAAAAAATAATTATCTTAATATACAGATATTCTTGCTGTAGTTGAATTGTACTTTACAGAGGTTAGCAGTAATTTGTGCACAGAAAACTATGTTCATGATTATTACAAAATAACTTCTTTTGGCATAAAGAATATTGCTGAGAGTTCCTGAGTTGGTCCAGTCACCCAGTGGTTGAAGTCGTTCTAATAAATACAGTACATAAAAAGACAAACAAAAAAAAAAAAACAAGTGCAGAGACACTAGGAGATTAAAATATTTTAGCTAAAGTTCATGGCATTGTTGCGCTGTCTATGAAAAAAAAAACTACAAGTCAGCAGAAAAGTTAAAGATTGTGCAAGAAGTAGCTTTAGAAATGACAATTTTAAAAACATCACTCTTTTTGGCCCAAATGTAGCCCAAAGACTCGTCACTAAATGGCTCAGTTAAAGGCTTCCCCGTCCCTCCCCGGGTCCACGGATGCTCTAACCCTTCACTGCTCCCACGGCTGCAGGGCGGCCTGAGGAAGGAGGAATTGTGGAGACGGCTGTGGTACGATGTAGTAACCAAAAACTTGCTGTGGTGGAGGAGGCGGCGCGGGGGACGCACACACTGTGGTGAGGAACACCGGAGCCCCCTTCTTGTACTGGGACCACACCGGTGTCGGATGGTAGAAGTACTGGAGGCTAGCGGGAATCTGAGAAATAAACAGATTGGAGAGAGCACAAGATATCAGCAAATATGCAGAAATTATTTTTCCTTCCTGTTTTTTAAAAAAAGAAATAATGACGAAACATCACGAGAGTCTGACTTAGCAGCTGACACTTAAAGATAGAGCATCTCTTTCCTTTTAAGGACTTGTAAAGTTTTTATAAGGATGAAGAACTCATGCTACAAATGTTTTATGAAAATAAAACCTTTGTCATGACACTGTCAACAGATACGCCCTTGAATACATTAAAATTTCTTAAATTATTAAATCTTGGGGTTCCTACTTTCAAGCTTGTATTTTTATACTGTGGCAGATTTTAGAGAACTGTAACAATTTAAATCTGATCTTGAGTCATTTGAGGACAGGACCAGCAGTGGGACACATATTAGAGATACAGGATCAATTATACAAAGTGACTTTGTTTTTTTTTTAAATATAAACAAAGGGATGATCCCCTTTTCAAATTCAGGCTGAGAAAATGTTACCACTACTGCTAAACTAACCCTTGGTGGCACCAGTGAACATTTACATTTCAAAACACAGTTTGTTTGTTCCTGAAGATTGTTTCAATGCCTTATCCAGTTCTTGCATCATGCATAAGTCAGCTCTCTAGAACGGGTTGCATCATAGTTGTACTTGTGTCATAAAATACACCAGCAAGTATTTATGGCATCTGGATGTGCATGTATGAGTCCAATTACAGCGCCTACGTTGGTGGTAATGAGAGAACGTGTTGTTCTTAGCATATCTGTAGCTTATCAGTCTGTGTTTTTCAAACAATAAAGCTCTAATGATTCAAATGACCCCATCAAGTGACAGAATCAGTAACACACCTATACAGAAGGTCTTTAATATTGAAAATTTACCTTTTTTCTGACGTATCTGACTTTATTTAGTGCTTCTCCGTTCCCCTTCCGGATTCTGGGAACCATCGTCACTGTGTAGGCGGTGCCGTCTGCTGCCTCCTTATTCTCATGCTCCTCCAGCTTCTTGTTCTCCTCTCCGTCCTTGGCCTCCTCCTCCGTGTCGCTGGATGAGGCAGAGCCGCAATCTGACGAGGTGGCAGAGTGGTAATCTGATGTGTCCAGGTTGACGGAGGAGTCATCCCGGTCCCTCTTTACGCTCCCATCTTCCTCCTCCTCCTCCTCTTCACAGAAGCGAGCTATTGTGAAAGGTCTGCCATTTTCCCCAGACCTGCGAGTGAGAAAGTGAGTGATTGTAAAAGCTGGGCCAAGGAAAGTCACTCATAATTTTACTTTAGTGAATCAATGACTCATGCAGATGTAACGTGTCTCTGTGTGTTGCAACAAGCTGTCTGGTGACTCACCTTGCACACACCTCCAGTGGGTCGATCCACAGAGTTATCTCAGGTGGAAGTCCCAACTTGCTGGCCGTGACCTGGCTCTCCTCACAGGCCTTCAGCACCGCCGCATCGCAAGGTCCGACTTTATTTATCCGGATACACCTGTCGACGTTTACGTTTATATTAGGAGAGAAATCTAGAAACTTCGGATGGAATCAGATTTCATTCATTAAATGTTGGACTGAAGGCCGTACGCTGATGCCTACCTGTATGCCTGGCCTTTGCTGGGACTGTCAGGGTACCAGTGGTCGCAGTATTTGTCACACAAAAGTTTCTGCAGCTTCTCCGCAAACATCTCTGCTTTGGCTTCATCCAGCTTCCCTCTGGCCACCACCAGGCGCTTCAGGAAGTCGACTCCAGCTTTTACCTCCCGCTTCATTTTTTTTTCTGTAAATAACACAATAAAATGTTACTATTGCTGCCAATTATAGCCACATTTCTTCTTATGTGCTTCAACTTCCCTTTGTCGGGATCAGGAGGATTAGGAATTTCAGGAGCAGAGATAAAAATACTCCCCTACGCAACCCGCTCTCTTCCCCCATACCTCTTTTTAAATAGCAGAAAGGGCAAGTGGAAAACTGTGAGGAATTTACAGATGCTTGACACGGCTCCGAAGTGGAAAACACCCACGGTTTTTACACAGGCAAACAAGATGCAAACTAGCTGCTGCTGCTGCCGTGTTGCCAAGCGAATGTAAATACGCTGCTCTCTGCGGGTTTATCTTCCGATAGCAAGGCTGTTTGGGGCAGGTTGACCAAAGAGGCCAAGGCAGCCGAGAGCGTGCAGCTGCTCTAACCTAAAGCCACGCGTGCTAACATCCTGAGGCGAAGAGTCGCACCTTGAACCTTTGTGGTGCAGACGGCTGTTTGTTATCGCGGCTTCAGTCTGAGTGAGGTGTTCTGACGGAAAATTGTTATTTGTTCCGAGAAACGCAGAGGACAGCCTTTCCCTCAAGAGCGGCAAAGAGAGACACAACAAGCCAGCAGCCAACAAATGATCAGGCCATTACGTGAGAGTGAACACGCAAAACAGCAGCTGTAGCACAAGTCAATAAGTGTCCAAAGAAAATAACATGCTTTCTATTTAAAGATGTTTTCATCATTGTCAGTTCAATGTTGTGCTGACTAGCTAAACAGGTAAAAACACAATCAAAGGATGCAACTTTGGCAGGTAACAATAATTTTTATTAAATGATTTCTAAAAGTCAGAGACTATAAAACTTAGCTTCACATTAGAATTAATAATGTGCTAACATGGGGGGAAAAAAATCACTGAAATCCATATCAAGGTTTATAAAATGACTATTTTAAGATTGAAAGTCATTTCAGTAAGATCCCATTTTGCTGCACACTGCTCTTCAGCTGGCTGAAAGAAGCTACTGCACTTTTACCGTGCTGATTGGACAAGGATTAAATTCAGACTCATACGTACATAAAAACTAACCCAACTAGAGTAAAAATACAAAACATCTCATTTTATTTTCACAACAATAAGAATAGTTTATATTCTGTTTTAATTACTAAATTAATTACGCATTTTGTTTTAAATTTTATGAGGACAGACTTTGATGTCTCTTGTCAAGGTGGCCAGACACACAAGTGAGAATCTTAAACTAGTTCATGTCGTGAGATGGACTACTAAGAGATTGTGGTTTCATAGTCAACATAACTTTGTCAAACTTAATTTTTAACAAAGTTTTGCTTAGCATTAACAATCCTATAAAGCACATGAACTTTAACCAGTTATCCCTAGTAATTCAACTAGAACTGTTTCCAGTTAAATTTGTGGATTACATAATTATACATATTCAAAAACTATTTTATAGCTAACAAAAATCATTCCTGGGTCCTTTCTTGGAGAAAAACGTCTCTTTATTGCTACTCTTCTCTCTAGACATGAGCCAGTAATTGTATCCAGCTAAGATTTTAAGTTTCAAAAATGTTCTGCAACTTTGAAAATTTGCTGAAATTTCTGTTTTTGAGATGTCAATAAAATAAAGATGAGCAGATGTCTCACATGGAGCATGAAAGTGAGATTAACTACCAACATATTAGTAGTCAGTATATTAATATTGGCAATGACTAATATTTTGCATAATGCAGTGATAAAACCACAAGTCAACAACTGGAATGTGGCCTCAGGCTTTGCAAATAGCCAGAGTAATAACCAAATAGTATCCGCTTTGTTTACACAAAAAATTACAAGTCAAATGGCATAATATTCTGCTCAGTGAGCAGAATATACATAGAAAACTCAACTATGTATAAATCAATATGCTGTGGTCTTACTGTTTTAAATTTTTGTTGAAATATTGTTTTATTTCCCCTGAATGACACCAGTCCACGTCTTCCTTCAGTAATAAACTCTTGACAGCTTATCAGTGATGTCAGACTTCAGCTCCTTGACGTCAAGCTTCAAATGAGAACATGCAATAAGACATCATTTATTCAGTCCTCTCCTGGGCCTTTTGTTGGACAAGTGAATCACAATATGACAGCCTGATTGCTTGTCGTTTTCTGAATACTTTTGACACTTCACACCTAATCCAATCCTCAGCTCAGAGACACTAATTAAAGAAAAGATTTGATTAGTGTCCAGACAGGGATAGCGAGTTTCAGTGTTTCCAAATATCCCAGAGTATAAATCTCTCTTCTAGCGAGATAGAAAGAAAACCACAAAGATATCTGTAAGTGTATATTGCAAAAAAAGAAAGAAAAACACCGCGTGGCCCCCTTTAGTCGTTTTGCTTTCGTTATATCCAGTTTATTTGGTTACTCAAGTCCAGTTTTCGTCCTCGTGGAACAACGAGGAGACAAAGCAGTCATGTCCACAGCGTGATGCGCAGCGGGGACACGTGTTAGTGCGCGGCAGTCTGGTGATGACGTTCGCCACAATTGAAATAATTGTTACAAAAATGAACACTTTCATTCTTTTTTAAGTTACTTATTTTTCTGTAAAAGGAAACTTCACTGAACAGACAGGGGAAAAAAACACGTTTGGGTTTTTTTTTGACGGAGCGGAAACCCCCGAGGGGAAACTCAGAAAGTCGGCAAAAACCAGCCGACAAAGTGTTAAAGGGAACATTTTGAACAGAGCCAGAAACACAGAAACAACAAGTATATATATATATATATATATATATATATATATATATATATATATATATATATATATATATATATATAAAGTTTGAAGCTGTATAAATTAATTAACACGCTGCTATAAACGCTATAAATTAATTAACATAAATGTAAAACAAAAAACTACCATTCAATAAAAGACGAGCAGAGAGGAATTACTTTTTTTACAAAGTGTTAAAATGCCTCGCTTTCATTCGAAAAACCTTAAAAGTAAAGCAGAGGAGGTAAAACACTCACATTTGTTGATTAAGTGAATCTATCCTGTCGCCTGTCCGTCCGCCTGCTCTGGCTGTTGTAGGAGTTATTATGGTTCGCACATGTTGCTTCCTTGTTCTCTTCTTCGGTTGCTGCAACAAGAACGTAACGTTACCGTAAGCGTGACTCACTTCCTGTGAGTACGCGCTGACGTGCCGCCTTCCCAGACCGACGCCCCAAATATGGTCAATTCGGATAAACAGCTGAACATGGAGTTTTCACAGTGGTTGTTCTACTGCCATAGTGATGAAATATGAAGTAATATGAATCTCAGGCAGCTTTCTAATAAACGAGGTAAAAACATCCGCTGTCCATTGTTCTTTTTTAGCCACGTTGTTCAGAATCCTGTCACAATAATACAATTGATCAGTTATCAATAATATTACTTAATATACTCTAAATTAAAGACCGAACAAAATCTTGGCTATACATTTTATAAATACCAGTTTTAAAAAGTTCAAAAGTGCTACGGTTTAAGTGTGATGCCAGAAAATCAGTTTTTCTGCCTGAATGAAACATGAACGCACCAACACACATCACCTGCTGCTGTACACTGCCAGTCAGCTGGCTGAACGAAGGCCATCGCTCCTTACAAGAAAGACAAAACTGGTCCATTTGGAATTAAGAAATACCTGTTACTGTGACCGAGATTAAAAAATGCTGCGTATATTTTTTAAGGTTGAGCAAAGGGCAAATAACAATATTTAACAAAAAATATTTATAAAAACTAATGTCTTGCATTATTACTTATGTGTGAATAATTGCTTTATGTTTGAATTTAAAGAAGTTAGAAAATAGTTCAGGTTTTCAAAAATAATTTTTGAAAACAGAAATATTGTGAAAATGTGGTGTTTTTGGGTAAGATTAATACCCAAAAACTGATTCTCACACAGGACTATGGTTATGAATTATTAAGTTAAAAAGAACGGAGATGAAGGACTCCAAAAACTATGTTGCGATTATTCAAAGTAAACTCAATACTTCCAAGCACAAAAATGACAACTTAGAAAACAAACAAACTGAAGGAATTGTTATGCATTTAAAGTCTAAATTATGCAAATGCAATTAGAGAAAAACAAGGAAATCCAAAAACAGTCAAAACATATGATGGATTCTTACATGTAGAGCCTATTTTTGTGTTCAGTGCAGGAAATATGTGTGCAACACTTCCTGTTCTATGTCCCTACCACAGTTACATCACATTCATTGTTTAGAAATTTTATTTGCATTCAGACACTTATACTATTTAATTCCTCAGTTTAGGAAAATAAAAAAAAGCCTTTACGATAATGCATGTTAATCCTGAGTTTTAAAGAAATGCCCTCAACAAACCAAAAACTGAAGAGAATAATTATCAACTGCTATTGTGCTATCTGGGTTGATTATTCATGAAAATAAGGAACAGAAAATGTCAGGTCATGTCAGTCTGGACAGAAAGCCACAAATTGAGATGACTTCACTAAGTAAACAAAATGGATTAAACTCAATTGTTTATTTTTCCCTGCTATTTTCTTTCTGTCATTTTATAAAATGCTAACATTTCTTTTTGTCTTATTATTATTATTAATATTATTGCTATCAGTAGCATCTGAATAAAAATAAACCTGTTGCATTGTACTTTACTGCTCTGTGATTAAGCTGCTATATCCGTCTGCTACCACCAGGCGGAGCTGTAACCCTGGCAGTGCTGATGTCTCGCTCTAAAAAAAACACGTGTTTACTCATGGTGAACAAAAAAGCCCTGCAGCATCTGAAAAAAAAAAGTTGTCCAGACGTGATCCCTCAACGATACATCAGTGATGCAGGTGAGGTTTGCGCGTCAGCTGTTTTCTCCTGCATTAGGAGGTTTTCTATGATTTTTTTTTTATCACAGAAAAAATCAGCCACACCCTTATACGGAATTGTTATTTCGTCTAGGCTACCTGAAGGCTCGGATTTTTTTTTCTCTTTGAACTATGTTTCTTTAGGCAGAAAACTACACCACAACAATGCAATTCTCACGGTAAAATTGAATGAATTTATTCAATCCAGTTTCAGTGTTGGAGGCAATCAGGAATCACAACAAAATCGTTTAATATTTTGTGCAATGACTGATGGCCGCACTGTAAAAATAAGAGAAAATGACAAAGCTTTCATTTTGAAACATTAAAAAATGGTTTCCAAAAATATTAGCAATATGAAACAAAAATGACTGTAAAATTACTCAAAGTGTGAGGACACTCACAGGCCACATTATTAGGTACACCTTTCTGTTACCAGTTTGAACCCCATTCGACCTGCAGAGCTGCTTAATTGTTTCTGGCGTTGATTTAACACGGTGTGTAAAACATTCCTCCTAGACTTTTGATCTATAACGACATGTCAACATCACAGTGACCACAGATTTTCCAGCAGCAAGTGCATGATGCACATCAGCCATTCCATGTCCTAAATGAGATCTGGTGACTGTGGTCTCCACTGGAGTGACTATTAATATCATTAATATCTATAGGGCACCAATTTAAATAAGTTTGACTTGAGTTTTGTGAGATGATGCATTATCCTAGTGACTGCAGTCATCAGGAGTCAGGTACACTGTGGGAGTGATCAGCGACAATGCTCAGTGCAAAGCAACCCAAGGTGTGCCAATACAATATTTCCCATACAATCAAACTACCACCACCAGTCAAGATAATTAGTCTTATCTGAGCAGATGTTTGTTTTTGCCCACCTTTGTTCAACTTATGTGAATTGGATCCCTATTTTACTGTTCTTGTTGAACAGGATTGGACTGTTGTGGACTTCTGTGTGCAGATTTAGGCCATTCGCTTTCAGAAATAGTATTTCATATAAGTGTTGATTGTAATCAGTCTTTAATTGATCTACAATTACTTTTTTACAGTGCTCATCTGAGCTCTCACCCAAGGTATTTTTGTCTCTATTTCCTAACATATTTTATTCCCAATGTACTCAAAATAATAATACTTGCAGTAAGATGGAAAGTGTACTTATCAGCTTTTATAGTAAGAGTAATAAAACTACTGTCAGTTTGAATGTTTTTATAGCACCACAGATATTTTACAGGTGTGTCAATGACACATCTCTCATTTAGCTTCCTCTGTTTAGTTAGTTTTAAGGAATAGTCAACTGTAGGCAGTATTTCTGTGACATGGTCTCGGTCTTCTTTCGACTGCAGACCTCTAGCCACAACAAGGAATGAGTCACGGTTTTCAGATCAATACTGCACCCATAATACCAGCAATAGCACAACACAGACTCAGAGACTGAAGGTCTGACACAGTGAAATCATATCATATTAATATACAGCATGGGAGTGTTTGTTCTCCCATACTCCCTCTCTTTGTTTTTTTTATCAGACTAGATTGGTGCATTAAAATGATCTACTGTTAGCTTGGCTATGTTTTTTATGCTTACTTTTTAAAGGAAAGGCAAAATATAAATGTACAATTCCTACTCCTTTGCGTGCAGTTAAAGAAGTTCAACAAAGTTTTCCCAAAACTGTAAAAATGTGGAGGACAGAAAGAAAGTATAAAAATGTGAACACTTTATAACCCCCGTGAATGCACACACCACTGAAAACTATAATCTCTTTCATAACTCACTATTATGGCATTTATGTTTCCCAATAACATATAATATCATTATTGTTGTTGTTTTTGAAAACAGTGTAAAGGCTGAAAGTTTGATTAAATTTTACCCACCATTATAGTTATACAATTTCATTACAGTGTTGCATATGTTTTTTTTTTGTTTTAAAACATTGGTCCTATTAAATGTTTCTTTCTGTTTTAACTTTTTCATCACAATCTGTTTCAGATCATCAGACAGATTTAAAACTGGACAAAATAACAGAAAAGGCAAAATACATTTGAAAAAAAAATCTATAATTTATTAAGGAATTAAACTGAATAACAAAAATTATATGAGCAAAACGGTTTCATGCTATGAATGTCACAACAGATAAAAATTTTACAGTATTAAAAACAATAGATTGGTTGTTGATGTGCATGTTCCCTTGTTATGCACCTGTTTAATTATTTACTAGTATTGCTGGTATACTCAAGCCGTACATTGTTTGTGGATCAAGAGGAAAAAGATTTTTGTTTGGCCCATTTTTTCATTATTTAGAATTTAGATCATTTTGCCACCACTAAGGGCAGACTCGTGTCTTTTCTGCATTAGCCTTTCCTGGTTCTGTAACGTAAAACCATATTGGAAGCATTAGGACCATTGAAGCTGTTTTTGTATCCGAGAACCTCTTGTCCCCAACCTTTATGTTTGTCTGTTCTCAACAGCAGGATAATGGTTGTTGGGTGTCATTAGGTAAATGTTATGGTGATGCCACTTGCCTGGGATCACATGCCAGAGTTGTGTCATCCAGCACACTTGAAGGCACTTTTCTTTTTATGCAGGGCTCCACTCCCCACTCTGCCTCGTCTCTCACTCCAACCTCACACGTGACTCTCTGGCACCTTTAGGTTGCCGCGTTGTGTGAGAACTTAGGGAAAGTGTGTTAGATCTGTGCAGAGATGTCTTATCACCCCTGGCTCCACTGGATCAAACTCACTGGCCCAGATGCCAACTCAAGAGTGAATTATTGCTGAGAGGGTGCCTGAGAGAGATGGAAATAGACAGAGAGGAAGGAGGGGGGAGGTGAGAGGTAGAAATGTGTTTTCATAGAGTGGGTGCCCTTTTTTGTATTGATTAGCATGTTTTGGCTACAGATGAAAATTAAATTGCTTTCTCTCTCCTTTGTTTCCCTCCTGACTTGCTTCTTTTTTTTCTTTTTTTTTTTACTCTTTGCACTCGCTGACCTTCTTCCCACTCATTTTTTCTCCTGAGCTGAACCTGTGTAGGCAATCTTCATCACTAGCTGTAAGACTGATTGCTTTACTCTCTCCTCAAGCAATTACTTTTTTTGAAAAGTCACAGGTAAGTTTTGCTCATTAGATTTTCTATCCATTAACTAATCCCGACGCAGCCCTCCAGATGTCACCTCTGCCACTGCAAAGTTCTTGTTAAAACTATTATTTCTCTCTTTAAACTCTTTATCTGCTCAATTGGTGGTATAATATTCTTCTATGATAGTAGGAACCCAGACAGAGATGCGTGATCCACAAACGTGCAATCTCTCCAGTCTCATGCGCCTCACAGGTGTCATGATTTTGCAGATAAGTATTGGAAATGAGACCACTTGACCTCGAAACGTGATAGCGCTTTGCAGTAGTGGCTCCTTTTCTGAACGCGTCTGGCTGTATCAATGGAGCCCACACGCATGCACCGCATGCAGCCCGCTTCGCCTTTAAAACATATTGATTTCTCTCTTTCACGGGGCTTAACGCGATCGATTGCAGGGGCCCTTTCAAGATCAGCGCCAGTATAAGCATCTCTTCCCCTAACGCACATGCTGCCTTTTCCCCTCAGGTAATGATTGTCCTTGGTCTGGGGGAATAGTTTGTCTGCATTGAGAGAAGTGTTTCTCTTTTCATCCAATCCATCTCCCTCCTCCTTGTGTTACCAGGTATGGAACATGAATTTACTTTGTGAACAAAAAAAAAAAAACAAAT